GCCTATCTATGTCCTTCAAAATGTTGACGACTGTACATGTTTCGACGTTACAACGTCATCCTCAGTAGAGTCGTCAACTTTTTGAAGGCCATAGATAGGCCTAAATAAAATGTTTTAAATTGTGTACCAGTTTAACGTTGAATATTATTTATGATTTTAAAGTAAATTCGGTTTCGATTTCTAAAAGGATCATGTGAAATATTGATACAAGTTTACCTGATCACCAGAGTTTAAAACTTCATTATTACATCATGGCCACGATTATCGTTGTCAGGCGAATTAACTTTACACTACTAGTGCTAGAACATGAGGGCTATACAGAAATACAAGGGGTTTCTTTCTGCTACTTTGGATGTGAATAAATTGCGTTCGATGAATGTTCACGTTAATATGTCAGTATAAGTCCGCATTAAAAACAAGTTATTCTGGAACAGGCGTCATATTACTCGCTGTTTAGCTACTACACCCGTGATTCTATTCTTTGAGTCCTCTATAAATGTTAGACAACACACATAAGAATCTATAATAGATTATTAAGATTAGCCCTAAGGCTTCCAAGTTACATTCCCGTTAGCTATTTACACGAAGTAAATAAAATTCCACTGCTTAAAGACAGGTCAGATACATTGGCTGAAAATGATTACAAAAAAAAAGGCAGAAATAAGAAACACATTGACCTCTGCCTTTTATACCATTACATGTGCACACACAAAACAATATCCCATATAATACGTACCGCAGCCAAACATACAATATGTACATACCACGAGTTTCGTTTAAGTTTTTTATAACTAATCCCATGTTTTTGTCTTACAGCTTGGGCACAGGACAATTAGATTATTCGGCGTGGGTTTTCTTTTGGTTCTCCCAAACCCTTCCACACACCCCCTTGTGGCTCAGTGGTAAGTTTTGTTTGTCTGTTGTTAAGCGCAAAGCTACATAATGGGTTATCTGTGCAGTGCTCACCAAAAGAAAAAAAAATCGTGGCAAGTATTTAATTTTAAAAGAAGAGAAACTTTCCTCAACTGGGGTGCTCATGGATATTAAACGTGAGCTTTTAATAACTGTATTAGGGTATAAATCCTTATCTGAATTTTCAACTGGGAATTGGTGAAGGCAGAGATGGTGAAGCAAAGACAAAGACGACGAAGAGAAAGGTCAAAGATGACATTCCGGATTTCGACAACATCAACAAACATTGATGGCCCACAGTCAGGATCACAGTTGGCGGGGATCTATAAATTTGTTGTGTAATAGTAGTTGTACTGAAAGCTATTTAACGAAAATTTAAACTTTGTACATAAAGGAAGTTATTTATTCGTTTGAGTTTCTTGTATTAAAACATGTTAATAAAACCACCAGGTGAGTAACACCCTTGTACTATAGGCAAGGGAGTGTCACCGAACCCTTGAATACAAATGTTAATCTTATCTTGGGTGTGTACTTCTTGAACAAGTTGACGTTTTCCATTGGCCCCAAAAAAAACGTTCAGCGCCGCTAGTTGTATTATTATTATTGTATTTGTAGGAAAGTTGTTAAGCCTATTTGCCAACTAACCAGAAGGAAGGGAAACAGTTAGCAGCACTTTATAACACCCACTTCACGCTAATGGATTTACTCTTACTCTTATATCGCACCCACAGCTTAAACTACGTGAAATATTTTGTGGTTTTTGCTCGGATTCGAACACAGCTAGCCAGTTCCGAAATCTAGAGATGTATCACAGGCCAAACTGCGTCCAAAACTGATTTTTTTTTTGTCTCGTAAAGATTCCCTCACGTTTCGATTATAATATTTTTTTAATGGGCGAAAATATTTGTAAATGATGATATATAGCATTTGTCCAAGATGGATAAAATCAAAAATATGTGACCTCACTTCTGGTAATATTTCAAAAATATTACACATAAATATAAAATTATTATTAGTTCCTCTTCATTGTCATCCAATGTTATAGCAAAGACTGCTGGTAAGGGCACTCGACTTGCAATGTGTGGGTCAAGGGTTCGAATCCTGTCACCGAAAAGTTCACCCGCCTTTCAGCTGTGTGGGCGTTATAATGCGATGGCCAATCACATTTTTGATTGGTAAAAACTTAGCCCAAGAGTTGGCGGTGGGTGGTGTTGATTAACTACCTTTCTGCTATTGTTTTTATAATAAGAATAATCTTTTGTGATGATTCTTCTCATGTACTCCCATATATGGCGTGACTTTTCAATAGCCCTTTGTAATGCTTCTTCTCATGTACTCCCATATATGACGTGACTTTTCAATAGCCCTTTGTAATGCTTTTTCCCGTGTACTCCCATATATGGCGTGACGTTTGAATAACCCTTTGTAATGCTTCTTCTCGTGTACTCCCATAGAGGGAGTGGCTTTTAAATAATCCTATGTATAAATAAAGTCCATTTGACTGGTTGAAGTTTTATTTAATACTATAATTTCTGATAGATTGATTTTAAACATAATTGTGCGTTAACGAGAAATATAAAAGTTAACAAACCTGTATAATCGTTGTTTATTTATTTATTTTCTATAGGCTCTACAGTAGGTAAAGGTGAACTCAACCAAAAAGGAACAACCACAGAAGTGATCAATTACATACCAATCCAAAATTTGACTCTATCTGCCCCTTCGACTCTGATGGTTCCTCCCGCTGAACTTACTGCTGAAATATTACCAGCTGGAACAATACCTAATTACGTAACTTGCATATGGACATTTGGAGAAGAGGAAATGATGACGTCTTCTACTACAGTAGACAATTTTTTGACAAGTCATAATGTTGTGTACAATATTACTGACGCCCAGGCCCCTAGTCAAGTTCTTATAGTAGTAAACTGTAACAATATGATCAGCTCCCAAGTTCTCGAACACAGTTTAGAGTTGGTGGGAAAAATAGAAGGGTTAAGTGTGAACGTTTCTTCAGATGTTACTGGCGTGGATATCCCTGTTGAATTCAGAATATCTATAACATCGGGATCTAATATAAGCTTTTCTATTGACTACAGAGACCAAAACTATGAAAGGTTTAATTACAGTGAAACAGAGAGTGTAGGAAATTCTTTAACCACCTTTCATTCGTATAGTTTTCCTGGTGTTTTTACAGCTTATATAAACGTGGAAAACTCGGTGTCCTACGAAACTAAAATTCAACAGGTCCGTGTATTGGAACCTATTTCTGGTTTAACTATTCAAGCCAGCGCCCCAAGCAAAAACCAGAAGACGACTTACACGAATGATCAATTTCCGGTCTATCTTCCTGTCACATTTTCGGTCTTCCATACAACGGGCAACAATCTCAAGTACCAATGGACAATTACAGAAACTTTACCCAATCTGAACTCACTTTGCCATAATACACCAGCCCGCTTTCATCTCCCATGTTCCACTGAATACAGGTGTTCTCTCCTAATGTTGCCATTTCTAGTGTAAACGTCACGTCTTTGCTGACATTCTTTGGACCATCATTCGTTAATCCAAGCAAGCTTACAGCTTCTAAAACAGCAACAGTGTGTGAAATACTTTGTGTATAGAACTCGTTATATACTGTAACAGACACTGTTTTTTGGCCAGCGGTTCTAAAGGTGTGCTGGATGGAGGACTCGTGTAATGATGATTTCTGAGATGATGAATCTCCATGGTACTGGAGTGTTTAGGCCTTTGGAACAAAAATTGTTTCTCACGCACCTTCATACTTATGATTCAGAGAATACTTATTTCATCACTGTTCGTGCCAAAAACCCCGTATCGGAGAGTTCTATTGAGGACATTGTTGCCGTGACAACTATAAAGTGTAACTATCCCCGTATTCTCATCAGAGGCAAAGGAAAAACTCCAGAAGAACCGTTAGAAATACCCATTGACGGGCTTCAGCTTCAGAGCACAGTTGAACTTAACTGTGGTAACTCTTCAGCTGTGTATCAATGGTTGGTATTCAAGATGAACACAGGTAACGACAGCGAGTTCATCTTAGATCCATATAACATTTCTTCGCTACCTCAAAGTACCACAAAATATACGCCCTACGTTAATTTGAAAGGATCATCTTTTGAACCCGGTCTTTACAACATCACCTTGAAGGTTATGATGGTAGAGCATCCATTGATTTTCCAAGAAGAAAGCATTTTCTTAATTAAACATCCCGCCGATCTTCAAGCCGTAATAGAAGGAGGGAGTGCTCGTACTGTGGGATTTAATAACGTTTTTACAGTTGATGGTATTCGAAGCTCACTCGATCCTGATAAGCCTCTGGAAGAGTACAAAAATGAATGGACATTTAATTGGTATTGTCATAGAGAAGAAGAACTGTTAACTGAATTTCTGATGCAAAATATTGTGGATGTCCCTCTGGTTCTCGATAACCACACTCTTCGCGAAGATTTAGGAGGATGTTTTGGTACTGGGTCTGGAAGACTAAATATTACCAGCGGATCGTTCCAGTTGGACAGTAACGCCATGGTGGTTAATACAAGTAACAGTATCCGACTCGTTATAACCACCCCAACCAATAAATCAGCGTGGGTGGAACAACTTGTGAACGTTATCGAGGGAGATCCGCCGGATGTAGTAATAAAGTGAGTGTGATGTTTTTTTACGTAATAATGATATAAAGTTTTATTACAATTCTCGAAAAAAACCCAAAAAAACCCGTAACAGTGCTAGTCTTTATACTGCGCAATGATGTCTAGCAACAGAGTTTATAGGGCTACTGACTTATGTGCAAATATTCTATGATTTGCTCCCTTTAATTTTAGTTATAAAATAAACTTTGTTTCTTCATTATTGAGTGTTATGTATTGTTTGTTTGATTTAGAGCAAAATCGAATGGGGCTATCTGCTGTGTCTACCGTGGGGATAGAACCTCGAATTTTAGCGTTATAAGTCTGTAACCTTACCGCTGACCTGTCGAAGGTTTTGTTTGTTTGTTTGTTTTGAATTTCGCGAAAAGCTACACGAGGGCTATCTGCGCTAGCCGTCCCTAATTTAGCAGTGTAAGACTAGAGGGAAGGCAGTTAGTCATCACCACCCACCGTCAACTCTTAAGGCTGCTATCTTACCAACGAATAGTGGGATTGACCGTCACATTATAACGTCCCCACAGCTGAAGGGGCGAGCATGTTTGGTTGGACGGGGATTCGAACCCGCGACCCGCAGATTGCGAGTCGAGCGCCCCTACCCACCTGGTCATGCCGGGCCCACATTGAGGGACTTATTATTTATTGTAAAAAATGTTTTTTAAGCAATCAATCCATTGTTTACTTACATCAGCAACTTTTAGCATACAATTTACAGAAGTGTTAAAATGATATTAAAATACCATATTAGACAACGTAAAACTAGTGCTTTTGAAAATAAATTTTCCAGTTTAGGTGAATTTAAAACACTAATAAGAAGGCTTATTTTATTTACTAGATGTATAAAGAACTGTGGCAAGAAGGTTAATCCCTTCAGCGAGTTGGCTTTTATGGCAAACTGTACATCGTGTAACCCGTATCAACGTCCTAAGTACGAATGGAAACTGTACGAGTACTTAATGGAGAACGAAACTTACGTGGAAGTAACCAGTTTTCAGGAAATGACTTCTATTACAGGTAACTATGTTCAATTTCATGATACTCCTTAGTTACCATACATTATTACTAAGCGTACTTATTGAATCCAGCTTCAAAACTTATGACAAAACGATTTGTTTTACTAACGAAACCGTATAGATCAACAAGATGAACATCTGTTTTTATTAAAGGTAAATTTTACATCCGCACATTCCTTAAAGTCCATGAACAAATTATATAATTATTTAAGTTTTATGATTAAAATAGTGTAAAGACCGGGTGCGTGTCGGAAGTACTTTTAAAAACGTTTTTCACATAACTTTTATTTACAGGAACGAAAACCAAAGGGTTGGCGGTCAAATCAAACAGTTTTGAAGGTGGTAATCGGTACAAAATTCAGGTGAAAGCGTCACTTCCGGGTTATTCTACAGCCTTGACGAAACGTGTGTTCTCTACAGCCCTGCCACCTTATGGTGGATCCTGCGATGTATATCCACCAAGCGGTAGGTATATTTCACACTTATACAACATTCTGAATGAAAAAAAAAAAAAGACAGAAATGACAATGGTCGACGTTGAAGTATTTTCAGTATTGGCAACTTCGTTCTTTCTTTAAAGTACAAGTAGTTTTTAGTCTGTGTGTCTGTTTGTGTGTGTGTGTGGATATTTAGATGTTTCAAAAACAAAACGTTTCTTTGTATTATAGCTTCGAATCAAAACTGGAAACAAACTGGTAACGTTTAGACAGCCTCGCTTCTGGATTTACTTTTTCTTATAATCCATGTCGAACAAATTAATATAAATTGGCTTAGATCGTTTTAAATTCGCATCCTGTCCAATGATCAGGTTTCCATTTATAACCTGGATAAAAGTACCACCTCAATTAAAATTCATTCCTCGGTAACTGTAAAATTAGTTTTTTTCGTTGTTTTTTTTTTTTTTTAAGAAGCGATTTCAGCAAATACACTTGTTCTTTTTAGGGTAAGAACTTACATTCTTAAAGACGTTAATTCAGAAGAAATAAGGTATAGATACGAGTTTATAGACAGCATAGAAATAATTGTTGTTTTCATGGGTAAGAACTTACATTCTTAAATATGTTAATTCAGAAAAAAATGAGGTAAAGATGCGAGTTTATAAACAGCGTGGAAATAATTGTTGTTTTCAGGGGTAAGAACTCATATTCCTAAAGATGTTAATTCAGAAAAAATAAGGTATAGATACGAATTTATAGACAGCGTGGAAATAATTTAAGTGGTGTGTGAAGAAAGAAACAAACTGTTAATAGAATCACTTTGATTGAATTAGTTTTATGATTAGTATAAAATTTTACGGATATAACTTTTTGGGAGTAGAATATCATTGAAAATGTATACAGTTACATTTAATTTTAATCTTGTGTGAAATGTGGTTTCTTTAACGTATCAGAATTTAATATTTCATAATACTACTGTATTATGAAATATCACATTTTCCGGCTGCCACGAATGTCAAATAACCAACTTCTTCAATTGCATTGTTTCTCATTCTACAGATGACTTTTTTTTTATAAACCAACTCACTACTGAATATTAGTAACAGAGGTTTCATAGAAAATGTGAGTTGGCAGTACTGTAACTGAAGGATTCCTTATATGTTTCTGCATTCTCTTTTCTCAGGCGTGTCTCTTAACACAACATTTGTTGTACAGTGTGAGGATTGGATAAACCCAGAAGACGATACAATGGACAATCTTGGCTACGAGTTGCTGTACAGACCTGTAAATAAAACAAAGTTAGTTCTTTTGTACAGTGGAGCAGATGCTATTACACCCGGTTTTGTTTTACCACCCGGCAACTTCATGACTGATTATTCAATGGACCTTTTTGTTCGGATTAAACAACCATTCCATACGTATGCAGAAGTAAAGCTTCATATTCAGGTGTGCTTAATTTGATACTTTCTTTTTTGTGTCTTTTTCTTACAAGTTGATGCCAAGTTCGTGCTCATCCTTCTCATACAGTTGTTAACAATATATATATATTATTGACATTGTGACACGGTGTCACGACAGGATCACTTTTACACGTCTTTGCAAGGTTAACGACATCCTAATCTATTATTTTATCAAGAGAAAATGTCTTTTTATTTGTTAAGCGCAAAGCTACACAATGGACCATCTGTATTCTCCCCCTCCGCGAAGATTGAACCTCCGATTTTAGTATTATAAGCCCTCAAGCTTCCTGCTGGACCATCGGGTGGGGGGTGGGGTCATAAAAGAGAGAGAGAGAGAGTTAGTGAAACACAAACTTATGACTTTGAAAAATTATAGTAAGGATGTGATTGAAAAATATATGTGTGGTGCACGACCTTCGATCATTATATATTCCAAATTGGTGTTAGATCAAAGTATATGATTCGTACCTAAGTTCTTGTTTGTTCCTTGATTTATTAGCGCAGAGTTACACAATTGACTATCTGTGCTCTGTCCACCACCTGGATTCGAAAACAGGATTCTAGCGCTATCCCACCAAGGAACATGTAGGTATCAATTACTATAGCTTCTAAAATGTTTTTACAGCTTTTTGAAAAGAAGTCTCGGTTTTAATTTCTAGTTATTATTGAAGTTAAAAAAAATGAATTTGCTCTGAACTTATTTACTGACAAATATTTCGTTCTTCACAGGCCACTTTCAAATTTACTATTATCAAAAGCTACTTTCAGGTTTACTATTATTGTCAAAAGGTTAATAAACAATATTAGCTGAAACAGATTCAAGTAAGTAAGCATTGTTAGGCCCTTTTAGATTGTATATAGTTAATAATGAATGATTATTAACTGTTGCCTGAGGGAGTAACAGTGACCAGTTTCTGTTTCCCGAAGCTGAAGGTCTTTCAACTT